ATTCAGCAAACACATGTCTGTTGCTGAAGTATACATGGAGGCCTGCAAAATGGTGGGTGTCGTTCCAGTTTCCTCCTTCATTCGAAACCATAGCTCCCCAACAATGACACTCACCTACCGTGGCCTTGGACCTTTAGGTTGCAAAGCACTCGCTATTGCTTTGATGGTGAGTTCAAAATAAAATTTCACATTGTCAAATTTTTGACAAGATAAATCTGATGAGCTGCATTTATTCCAGTCTGATGTGCACATCAGGACTCTTGAGCTGGCCTATAATCACGTTCAAGCTGAGGGGGTCAAATATCTGGCAGAGCTGCTGAGGGCTAATTTTACCATCCAGCATCTGGTATGTAAAAATTGAAAACTAACCACTAGAGGGTACCAAAAGACCCAGGATTTCTTAAAACAATTAGTTTTTGTTTCAGGATTTATCCAACAATCATGTGAAATCTGAAGGAGCTGAGCATGTAGCTAAAATGTTGATGGACAGCATTTCTTTAAAGTCTATTAAACTTTCAGGTAATTTGGACTTAATTAATTTGTGTGTGTTTTTGGTGGAGGCTTATGTGAAGGGAAACATTTCTACGACTAATATTGAGAGAAAGTTTATTAATTTACTAATTTAGCTGTTTATTTATTTTCAGGAAATGGATTCACAGATGATGATGCTAAGTATTTTACAGAAGCACTGTCAGTAAGTTGGGAATAACTGAATAAAACAAATTTGGGGTTGTTTATTAAAATGATCAGATTGCATTCACATCTGCTTTTAGACCAATTCCAGAGTAACGGATCTGGACCTGAGTCATAATAAGTTTTGTGGAAAAGGAGGAGAATATCTGGGACAGCTGCTGGGTATGGTAAAGTATATGTGTCTAATTTATAGTGGTTAGAAAGTTGAAAAGAATACAGAAAAGAAATCCCACTAACTTCAACAGCAAACAACGAAGGCATGGAAGTTCTGGATCTCAGCTGGAATCACCTTAGAATGAAAGGGGCTGTGGCTTTTTCTGCTGGTCTTAAGGTTTGACTAAATAACAAACAGCATTTCCCTTCTGATCAGCCCTTATAAATGATCTTATTCCATTTTATATTTCTAGGTGAATACGATGCTGAAACATCTTGACTTATCGTGGAACGGTTTTGGAAATGAAGGAGCCTTAGCCATGGGTGAAGCCCTAAAATTCAACAACACTCTGGTGCATCTAAATCTCAGCAATAACTGCATCACCAATGAAGGAGTCAGTATGCTTTGCAGAGGTCTGGATTACAATGAAACGCTACGAGTCCTCCTGGTAGGTTAACTGACTGGCTTCATTTGGCCAGACTGGAGATGCACTGTAGAATGATGTTTTGCTCCTTTACTTCTGCAGCTGGCTTATAATGCTGTAACAGTAGAGGGAGCTCTTGCCCTGGTAAATGTGGTGAAAAACACACCAAAAACGGCTCTGGAGCAGATCAACATATGTGTGAGTGATTCTTTATGTTAGATGACCTAATAAGATTTACATTTAGAGAAATTTTCAAAAGAATTCATAACTCTTGATTATTATCATTATTATTATTATTGTTTTTTTCTTTTCCAAACTTTTTAAGTTGCAGCTACAAACTTCAGTGTTTTATGTGATAAACATAAAGCAATAAAGGCCCGAGAACTCAACGACTTAATTTAGTAATTAACTGACAGCTGAAGGTGAATTCTTTGCACTGGGTTTTATTTTGGAATATCAGAGTAAAGTGCACAACACATTTCTCAATTTTTTAAAAAAGAATTTCAAGATTGTAATAGCTTCACACCACCTTCTAGCTGTGCACTACTTTGTGTTGCTCCACTAAATAAAACACCCTTGGAATCCAATGCAATTTTGTGGCTGTAGCATATTTGAAGGGTGCTGGACTTTATATGGTGTATTAGCTTAGCAGAAAAGGTTTGGGTTCAAGTTAATGAAGTTAATTAAAATCACACACAAAATACTTTTCTGTCCATTATGTCTTTCATTTAAACAGAATGTTCTGGTGAATGAGAACTTTGTGAATCTTTTGCAACTGACGTGTCAGGAGCATCCTGGTCTGGAGGTGCAGTATGAAGGGGTCGGAGGTTTTATAGCTCAAAAACCACCCAAACGCATTGATCCAATGAAAGTCATTCAGGTGGGCTGCAGTTTGTTTTCAATAAGAGACTCTGCAAACTTTGCATAATATTACCTTTTGAAAAAGTGTGTTAATTTAAAACATGACAAAAAAATACTAAAAGTTACACAAAAATAAATATTTTGATGCTACTAAAATAACTAAAGCCATTTCTCCCATTATTTCTGGCAGGATTATCTTGATAAACACAAACTGCGTTTATGGGATTTCTTTCGGAATATCGACAAAGATGGCACCATGCGAGTACCTGTCACTGACTTCAGGAAAGCAGTTCAGGTTTCCAAGCCCATTAATAAATCACATGCAACAATAATGTGTCATATTAATATATTATTGTCCAACAGCCTTCAGTTATACTTCATTTTGCTTAGAGCAGGTAGACCTTTCATGTATTTAAATGGATCAAGCAGCAGTTAGCTTGGCTTTCTGAAACATTTGGAAAGCCAGGCAAATCTATACAGTGAATTTTGACTCTTTTGCAGTAATGAACCAGACAATGGAATATGCTCCCGATATCTCCTTATAACATTTGTGCATGTGTGTGTTTGAAACTTTTAGCAATCAAGCATTCCTTTGAGTCGATTTCAGATCGAGGAACTGATTCACAGACTTGATCGGGGCCGAACAGGAATGGTAGATTACAGGTGAGGTTATCCCACGCTGATTACTGACGTGCTTTATTAATGGGAAATGAACACTGTGAAAGAGTGTGTAGACATTTGTGCAATAATGAGGTTTATTGCTGTTTCAAGACAACATTATTTGGATGTCAAATATGAATGACATCACATGTTCAACAGTCATGTTGACATGCAAAAGTACCCACTAACCTGGAAGTGTCTCATATTTTACTACAGCATTAAATTGTTGGACCGGCCCAGAGCCGGTCCAAGATTACATGAGGCCCTAAACGTAATTCAATTTGTGGGTTCCTCCTTTATTTGAACCCAACTACCACCACAACATTACTATTTTGTGTTTTATTTCATACTATAATAAAAAATATTAAATCAAATATTTTACATTTAATTTTTTTCTTATTTTTCAACTTTCGCCACATAGGGATAAGAAATAAGATCTTTGGAGATCAAAAGTAAACATAAACCAAAAAAAAAAACATTTTGCAATGCAGTGTGAATGCTGTAAGCTGAATATGTTTTGTGAAAATTACAGAGAAGTAATTAGATATTTTTTTAAATGTATTTAATCTTTCCTTCAGGGGACTGGCAGATACAAGAAAACAGATGGTGAGAGATCACCGTCGTCAGCTGAAGAAGGTGGAGTCCCGCCAGAAGAAAGAAAAGCAGAAGAGTGACCGCATACTGAAGACCTTCCAGACGGCAGTGGAAGCTGTCACACCTCACAGCTCCATGATTTTCTCCCCAGGAGGCGCCAAGGAAGATTCAGGCGGCCCTCAGCCCTTTTCTGCTACCCCTCTCAGTTCCTGGCACCACATCGTCATGTCAAACAGCAGCCGCTACTCTATCGCTAATATGAGCGGCGACCATGTTCATCTGTTGGGAGAAACCTCCCCTTTCCGTCCCACCAGTTCTCCAGCGATGCGGTCCTACTCTCAGCCCAACCTCTTGGTAGAATCTTCCAACTCTCCAACAAGCAAATCCATCTCTGCTCAGGGTGTTCGCTCCGATCCAGAAACGGATTATAGCAAATTAAGTCCTACTGGCAACAGCCTGACCAGGTCCAGGCCTGCTCTAAACACACAGCAGCCAGAGATTAAGGCCAAATCTAAGAAATTAAAGAAACAAAAAGTGAAGAAACATGGTGTCAGAGACTCACAGAATCCAACAAAAAGCATCAAGTAACACTGGCTGTGTAATAATAAAAATCTCTTAATAAAGCTAGAAAAAATTGCATTGTGCAAAGCAGTGTGAATACTGTAAGCTGAATATTTTTTGTGAAAATTGCAGACGCATAAGAAGTCATATTAGCAGAAATGAGTGAAATAGGCAAAATCAGAAGGATGAAGCAAAAGCCTACAAAACATAACTAGAAATACTGAAAAAAGAGGAGTGAAAACTTTCAGTGAATGAAAAAAATCCCATCCAAAGAGTATTACAAATTTGTTCAGAATACTCCTTACTAAGTTAATTGTAAGGTCACAACAGTTTATAGGCTAAAATGAGCCAAAAAGCTAAAGCAAGCTGAAATACAAATGATAGCCTCCAGGGTTAGGATCTTGACCTTCAGTTTTCACACTAAATATGGAGTCTAACTGAATTTCTTTGACAGTCTGCTTTATTCTGTGAAAAGTATTTCCCTGCTACAAATTTAGTCAGGTTGGGATTTCCTTCACAGTTAAATGTATCAGGTCATATAAAAATGTTGATTTCAGGAAAGAGAGCCATACAGAATGGGGTTTTAAAATAGTTATAAAATACAGTGAAATACATAGCATTTTCTTAATTTATTGCTCTATAAATATATTATCTCTTGTAATATTTCCATGTCTTGGTTTACTTTTGTTGATTTAATTGTGTTTTCTTTCTTGTTTTTCTTTTAGTTCACTAATGATTTAATTTTAAATTGGAATCATGTTTAATGCACTTTATAAATAAACTTGCATATTTATTCAATGTTATCTATTAACTTTTTTTTTGCTTTTACTGTATGTACACTATTCATGGCCTCCTCTATGGGACACCAACACATGCACAGGGATAATTGTCTGCAAACGTACGACTATTTATTATCCGGGTGCTAAACTTGACAAGAGGTGGATTTTCTGTCACCAGCCTGGGACAACAATACTGTGAACTGTGGCAGGTGTTGCATCCAGGAGTAGCTTCTAATAGGCTATATAAATGGTGGAGAACAAGCCACCTCAACCATAACGACAGAGACTGCAAAATGATCAAGACTCTGATACTGTCTGCACTGCTGAGCTCCACGGTAGCCGTGGGGGTATGTATGAAATCATTTTTTGTACATTCCTTGATTTAGACATGTACTGATCTCTGTTTCTTCTGCTCATCATCTCAGGGTGTTGGCCTGTGGAGTGCAGAGAGCTTAAGGAATCAGACAGGAGGTGAGGAGAGGTGCACCTGCAATGCTTTCCTGCCCAGTTCAACCTTTCCTGTCAGTGATTTGGTGGTAATGGAGCAGATTTGGTGGTAATGGAGCAGACCGCTGTTGAGATCTCAAACAAGCTGGAACTGGAGATGTGCAAGATACTAAGGAACATGTGTGATGTGTTAACCAGGGCCCTGTGAAAGTATTCACTTCGTAAATGTTAATTTATTTAGTTTGGATTTTATAAGCTACACCAACTCAAAGGAGGGCTTATTGTGAACTGGAAGGATAAGGACACAACCTTTTCAAAGATTTCTACAAATATAAATATGAAGAGTGTAGTGGTCAGATAACTGGAAGAAAACATGTCAGAGGATACAAAAGACTTGAGACTGGGGTAAAGGTTCATCCAAGCTGGACAATACAGCCACAGCTACAAAACTATTCCCCAATCAAACTCCATTACTAAATCACATTGAGAATGAGAGTCAAGATTTTAACATTTCGATTTACAGATAGACTTCATCCAGGCTTGGAGCTTTATTTATTTTGCAAAACAAATAGACAAAGACTTGAGTCTAGATGTACAAAGCTGGTAAAAAAGTAACTAAAAGGATTTACAGCTGTTAATACTTTAAATTAGGTGTATGAATACAAGGCACTGCAACTTATTAGATATGAAGAAGAAAAATCCCTAAATTGCACTGAAATCTGTCATTTTCAGCTGGAGGAATATGAACTTAAGGTTACACAGTATGCAGAAAAGATCATAAAGCTGACGGGGGAAATCAAAACTATGGAAAAGAGTCCATTGATGACTACAATGAAGCTGACTTTGGAGATATAAATGTGCAGATTAAACAAGTAGAGGCTCTGATTGCAGAGCTGCAACTCTCCATCAATGCTTCAGTCGCTGTCTTTGAGTCCCTCCATGTACAGGTGAGTCATCAGACGTAGACACGCAGAAGTTCACCTGGGAAAAAAATTCAGTTTTTCAAAAGCATGTGTTATCTTACAGGTAACTGTCATGTTGGACGCCCTGGACAGACTGGAGAAGACCCATGACAAGAATTTGGTGCTTTCAACTCGCAGAGAGTACTTAGAGGTGCAGCTTCAACTCGAGGAATGTGAGAGACGCCACCAGGAGCTCTTCAACCCCAACATCGGTGAGCTGATTCACACAATCACATGAGACGGAAACAATCACTAAACTCATATAACTGACTGTCCTCTTTCTTTTCAGGTTCTTGTGCTCACTCTGGCCTACTGAGGGTCAGCAAGCCTGTGGTGAGCCATCTCAATGCCCATCTAAGTGCCAGTTACCATTATGGAGGCTGGGGAAAAGATTCAAACCCTGTTTCTGACAGAGAGTCCATGTACTGGTACGCTGGTTACTCTTCCACTTCCATGTCGGACATACGGTTCTACACTGACTACAAGAACCTTATTCTGAGAACCCCTTTTCTCCATCACACCCTGCCCAGTGGCTGGTATGGCGTCGGGAACAACATTATAATGCGTGATAACACTCTGTATTATCAGATAAACAGCCCATTCGGACTAGCTAAACTGAATTTTACCACCATGAAATATGAGTCCAGGGTGATTTCCAAGGCCTCCTCCAGGTTCTCATACAGCAGCTCCGCCAATCAAAACTTTGATTTTGCTGCAGATGAAACAGGATTGTGGGTGACCTACGCTACTGAAGAGTCCGGGGGCCGGATGGTCATAGCTAGAATAAACGAGGCCTCCTTTGGGATTGAGGAGGAATGGCTGACCAGTGTCTACAAGCCAGGTGTAACTAATGCCTTCATGATCTGTGGTGTTTTTTATGCAGTCAGAACAGTGGACATCCTAACTGAAGAGATATTTTACAAGTACAACACTAAAACTAAACAGGAGAGCTATATTAGTATTACCTTTGAGAGGTTTCAAAACAGATATACAAACTTGGATTATAATCCTGCTGACCAGAAGCTCTACATGTACAATGACGGTTACTATGTGACCTACCATCTCTGGTTTAACAACACAGTTGAAGCCACAGTGGCACCACCGATGTTACTGGTGACTTAAATAATTTTCTCTCCTTGACAGAGAAATTTGATATGAATGCTTAATGATTTTCTTTTTTCTCCTTTTTCTTGTACCATCCCTTTTCTTGACTGCTAATAAATGATTTGAAGCATCCAAAAGCTGTTGTGTCATTTGGTTATTCAACTGTTTATTGGTTTTCTGCTCGAAGTAAGACAAATAATTTATAAAATTAAATCAAAATCAAATGAAACCAAATACATGTTCTTTAACTGAAATTTTATGTTCTATCAACAACACTTATGCAATAGTTTAAGGTGTAAGTTAAAGTCTGTTGTAAAGGCAAAATAAATTTGAACTGTAAATGTTGACAAATGCACCAAAACATATCAATAGAAACCTTCTATCCATAAAACTTAATCTTAATTTCAAGCCAATTGAGCCTTCCAGTGTCTTTTGATTTTGTTCTCCGATCCTGGATCCCTTTGGCAAACAAAAATCCTTTTTAAAAGATTATCAATATAACCATTTTCTTTTCAATTTTTCTTCTGGAAAGCTGTTAAATTCACTTCCCACCTTGCATCACAGATATTCACACCTTTTCTAAAATCCCTCAATGTTTCTCCCACTAAGTAAGGTTTTTTCTGCATCATGTGTCTATAGGATGTTTTAATGTGGTATAATCCGAGTTTGGGATTATCAAAAGTAGTAACATCAATTTGGCCTATTTTTGTGATTTGTTATCAAAAAATTTGATTTTATCTTTTCAAACTGTTCATGAGAATTTGTATTTTTACATTTCATCAAAAATCAATCTATAAAATCAATAGATAACTTTAAAAGACTACATTTTTAGGGGAATTTGATAGTAAATAAATCAACAAATATATAAATGATATTATAAATAAATAGTGCCTCAACAAAATGCCAAAGGTCAGTTGTTTCTTCCCCATTAGTACATTTTAGCAGCGTGTCTGTGACATTGATTGACAGCCGTAAGGCCCTCTTCCTGGCTCTGATCATTTGCTTTTGGTCAGGACAAATTGGGAGTGGTTCCTTTCTTCAAATGGCAAAAGTAGCTCAGGGTGGAAGTGGAGAATACTGATCTTTTCACAGATTATTTGTCTCATTCTGTCATGATGTGGTGGCAACAAACATGTAAAAAAAAATCTATATATTTTTGAAAAAAGTTACATACTGTAGGCTTCAAAGAAAAAAAAAGTAATACATTGGTATTATTAGGAATTTATTATTGGTAAATAAACTGGTATTTATTTACCAACTATGCCAGCTAAAATGAAATGTGAATTAATATTTAAAGCATCTGATGGAGTTTAAGGATTTCTAATTAAACCGAAGTTACAGGATCCCATTTTTGCACACCATCAGCCACTGAATAAAGAAACAGATTTGATGTTGCGGAAATGTGCTATTAAAATAAACTTGAATGATTGATTGACTTGCTTGTTAACAAAAAATATGTAAAAGTTTATTATGTTTAAAATGGCATTAGTTTTGAATCCTTTTTTGTGATTGAATCTGGCTTTGCACAAATAAAGTTATGCAGTGCATTAAAGCTATACAGTGAACAAAATGTTTTTTCTTTCTCTGAGTTACATTTTGGAAATTGCAAATTGGACTACACATTTAAAAAAAGTTAAGCTCTGACAATCCTTATTGCTTAGCTTTGTTAAATTACTGGTATCATTTAGCAGAGGTCTGTGGCCTGGTTGGGAACCATCTTCATCCTACGTGTTTCATTGGGAAGGCTGGCTGGAGGAGTGAAAGCTGAAACTTTCTGAGGTGATGCTTCAATAAACAGACCATAAAAAGTTCTCGCTGTCATGACAGATGATTAATTCACTCTCTGTGTTCAGTTCAAACCTTTCACTGGCAAATAACCACCTGACTCAGAAAGCAAACAAGAACACTATCACAATCTATGTGTAGAAATGAACTAATGCATCTTTGCTCCACCAAATACAAATACTCAGCTCAATGAAGGAATCATTAAAAGTGTTTTATGACAGTACCACAAGTGGTGATTTTCTCATCCACATCCTATTTGGGTCTCATACTTTGGATTCCCAAGACTTTACTGCATCATGTGTAAACAAAGACGATCACAGGCTGCTTGTAAATGAGCATCTGCTTGAATGCTGAATCTGGTAATAACCATGTGAAAAGAGAAGGTGTTCGCGATGATCTGATATGAGCAGTCTTTAAAAAACTCCAACAAAGTCTCAAGAGTCATTTGAGTGGTGAGGTGGGTCATGATGCAGCCAGTTGTAGTTCTGCTCCTCAGCGCCTTCAGTCCTGCTTTGGCCTGGATTGTAAGTAGTCTTTACTTCTATGACGTCTTCATGGCATAATTTGTGGTTATTCTAATGAATGTAAATTTCAAATCCATTTTTAGCCAGTGCAAGACTGGGAGTCTGGAAATGTGACGACTTCTGTGGATTCGTCTGGTCAGTGCGTCTGCCATGTTTTCCTCCCTGACATCACCTTCCCCGCAGACCGCGTTGAGCACATGCAGCAAGTCAGCAATGATCTGATCCTGGAGGTGGAAATTCAGAAAAATAAGGTGTGTGGTTAGGAATAGCATGAAGAATAAAAACCAGAAATGTGCATTATGATTAAATCATATTACAGCAGCTCTTGTCTTTTTCAGATGGTGAAATACATGGGCAAACTGGTGATTTATCTTGAAGAACTGAAGCAACTGGAGGCAAGATTGGCCATCCTGGAAAGCAGTCCTGATGATTACATCAAACTGGATTTTGAGATGCTCAGGATTGAACTCAGAGAGTTTGAGATGCTGGTGTCTCAGCTCAAAGACTCCCTCAACTCTTCTTCACCCCTGTTCAACAGTCTGTACATCGAGGTAAAACACAAATTGAACAAATCTTCTTAGAGTCTCACAATACATAAATATTGAATCCTTTAACACCTTACAAATAAATCTACAAAAGTATTGGATGTTAGATTACAACCAGCAACCTTTGTATTGAAATACAACTCCTCTCAAGAGTTGACACACTTTGGTGAAGTTCTTTCTCACATGTAACTGTAGTTTTCTTATTGCTCTGTCTCCAGATCCACAACATGACGCTCCTTGTGAACCAGCTGGAGACTTATGACAAGAGCAACCTGGAGGTGATCCGACATCAGTTTGCCAAGCTGCAGATGAAACTAGAGGAGTGTCAGAAGGATCAAGATATAATCAAACCAGATATCGGTAAGAGGGCTACTTAACATGATCAATAACAATTTGCACTTCAACAGTTAAAAATGCATCTTTGTAAATAATAACAAACTTCTGTGAAATCAAACTGCCCACTTAGAAAGCAACACTGATTGACAATCAATAACACATGCTGTTGTGCAAATGGAATAGACAACAGGTGGACATTATTTTCATATTTATTTCATTCATTCAGATCTAGGATGTGTTATTTGAGTGTTCCCTTTATTTTTTTGAGCAGTGTAGATTTATTATATTATAAAATAATTTTTAATGCAGTGTCCAGCAGGAGAGAAAGAGATAGAGGTCATTGCTGAAGGGACTGGCAGTACTCAAAGTGTGGATTCAAAGTTTATTAAGTTGAATGGAAGGAAAAACTGTGTGTGAAAAAGTTTACAAGCAGCAGGGACAATTACTGGCTGCTTTCAAAGCAACGTGGACAATCTTTAGGCCTCATCATTGTCACTTCCATGCCATGACACATGAAGCAGGATTTCATCTAAAAGATACTCATTGATGAAAGAGTTTCTCTTGCGTGTCCTATATTTTTCAGTAGAGCAATTTTGTTAAAAATTCTATTTGTAGTGGTGTTACTGCAAATTTAAATATTCTTAAAATCTTTATTTTTACTGTAACAGTAATGCTCAAATATAACACTACTTGATTTTCTGAAATACACAATTTTTGGCATTCAGATTTTCTGAGATGGAGCATCATTGCCAACATCTTTTTATTTATTTTTTATTTTTTTCAGGAAACTGCAACCACACGGGAATCTTAAGCTTCAGCAATCCATTGGTGGTGCAGTTCAATGCTCATCTAAGTACAAGATACGTGTACGGTGGCTGGGGGAAAGACTCCAAGCCCATCCGAGGTTATGAGAACTTGTATTTCTACGGTGCGACCACCAATCCTGCAGGTGTCTATGACTTTTATTTTTACACCAACTATGAAAATCTGCTCTTGAGGAAGAACTTCAAACACATTGACCTTCCAACTGATTGGGTGGGTGTTGGCAACAATTACATAGTGCGCAGTAATTCAATTTATTACCAGCACAACAGCCCTTTCAGCATGACCAAATTTAATCTGACCTCTTCCAAGTATGACTACAGAGTGATTTCTGATGCAAGCGCAAGTTTCTCTTATGCTCACTTGGCCAGTCAGAACTTGGACTTTGCAGCTGACGAAACAGGATTGTGGGTAATGTATGCTTCGAATGAGAACAAGGGGAAAATTGTCATTGCTAGAATTGATGAAAACGCTTTTGGCATTGAGAATACGTGGCATACTGGTGTATACAAACAGTCAGCTGGCAATGCTTTCATGGTCTGCGGAGTGATGTATGCCACCAGGACGGTGGATATCAACACTGAGGAGATCTTCTACACTTACGACACCAAGACCAAGCAAGAGAGAAACCTCAGCATCCAATTCAAGAAGTTCCAGGAGTCATACACCAACCTGGACTACAACCCCTCTGATCAGAAGCTTTACATGTACAACAATGGCTATTATGTGTCATACAATTTAAAATTTAACAAAGAATGATTCAACATGGGTTCAGTCCTCGTATTGTGATTGATATGAGTGATCTGCAGCCACTTTTAGCCCTTAGATCTCTATAAAACCTTTAAAGATATTTCTGAATAAATCAAACTGAAGCATCCACATTTTGTCAAGTGTGGTCTCTATGTTGTATATGTCATTTATTGCATAGAAAAGGTGACCCTTTTAGGCTGTTTTTCCAACTGTACAAAACCAGAATTAGGCAATTATTTTCTTTAGATTGAACTGAAATTAACCCAAAATGACATTTATATTTGCACGCTGCAAAAAATAATGTATTTTATTAAGAGCATACTAATCAAAAACACAAATAACATTTTTATTAGACATTTCAAATAAAAAAAATACAAAAATAAACATCAGATAATTTATTACACCATTGTGTGATAAATTGCATAAAGTATTAATAATATTAAATGTGCCCGTACAATTTTATGTGACACACTGATGAAAAATTAAATAGATACAACATATAAGAAGTCTCAAATTTCTAATCTTTTACACGTTAAAAACAAATCAAGATAAAATGTTTGCGTTCCTTGCTTTCCTTCACAATAAACTACAAGAGAAAGACTAATTAAAAAAAATGTGCACAATGTGGTTGGTGAGGTCAAACAGGTCAATATGACAGAGATTAGGGATTATGTTTTATGCCACAGGTAATATTCCAACTATTTAGATCCAAAACCCATGACACGTGATAATCAAATCAGAGGTGCCCCATGAAACAGCCTCTGTCTAATGTAATAAACACATTGAAAAATATTTCTCTTGCTGATAATCTGCTGTGTTTGTTGTTTCTCAAATAAATTCAGAAGTGATGAATGTTGTTGTTTACTCAAAGGGAAAAGTCTTCATTTGACACAAAAATAGTCACTGAAGGATTCATTTAAGATTGAGCATCCTTGTATTTTTGTGGATAAGGTTGCAGGATCAGATTTCAGAATCATGCTGCTGTGTCTAACCCCCTTCTGTAAACCTGCCCACCCCTAGGATGCATGCGTGGTTGGGGGTGACTCCTCTTTGTGCTGTTAGTTGGAGCCTGACTCGCTCTGGTACTGAGCACCATGGTTGATATCTAAGTAGGATGGGGGGGAGCAAATCCCATCTTTAAAGCCCACAACAGAGAAAATCCAAACATGGTAACTATTATTTCAAGTTAGCGGCAGGATTATAGGTTGAACACTGAACTCCATTGTTACAATAAATCAGAGCTGAAATGGCCTCTTCGGTCTACAGGCTCAAACAGCGCTGTCTCTTTAAATCTTTCACCATCTATGATGAGGAGTGGGGGGAAGTGAGTGCCTTGTGTGAAATGGTACCCTTAAATGACATCATGCTCAGCCAATCAGCAGCCTCAGCTGAGCTTCCTCCTCCTCTCCTGCTCAGCAGGATGAGTATGTTCCTACTGCTGATGATCCGGGTCGCTTCTGGTGCTGATGCTGCTGTTGGGTCGTAGAGTCCAGGCCATGCTTACATTACAGTATGTACAGCCTGTCTTATATCTGCATGCACACTTGTCTTCTGTTGTTTTAGTGTAATTATGGATGATGATACATTGCTAGCTCATTGGCTGTGAAAGTCCATGTTGAGGGGATGATGGATACTGATGGAGGACACTTAAGATGGCTTTTTGTGTTTCCTTATGTCACTGAAAATGTTCTGCTCTGATGACAGAGACTAAATGTCTACATGTGAGATGCCAGTGGCTCAGTTGTGGTTAAAACATCGGGAGAAAACTGACATTATTTCAAACAGTTCTCTTTTAGCTGTAGCCCACAATGCTACACAGAGTGTCTTGCAAAAGTATTTCTGGCACGTTGTCACATTTTGTTACTTCTACAAGATTTAATAGATTTTACTGAGATTTTAAGGTGACTGACAAACCCTAGTTGTGAATATTTGTGTGAAGTTGATGCCTTTCATGTTTTGCAAATGAAAATGTGGGGTGCAAATTTGTTCAGGGCCTCTTAGTAAATACTTTGTGGAATCAAGTTTTACAAAGGTTTCAGCTCTAAGTATTTTGAGCTGAAAAAGACTTAGAGCTTTTCAAAACTAATGTTCTATTAGTTTCAAACATTCCGAGACTAAATTATTTTGTCATTGATTTACAAAATAGCTCATGTTTGAAAAGTCTGGATGGATAGCACCTGTAAATATACATTTTCTTGCTACATACTTTCAATTTCATTCAGGTCTGGACTTTGACTAGGCTGCTAGGTCTAGATTAAATTTGTTTAGATCTAAACCAAAATGTTTGTGTTCATATATTTAGTGTTTCTTGCTGGGAGATGAACATTTGTTATTGTATCATGGAAAATATATGAAAGTTTAAAAATAAGAATATTGTGGCAAGGCAGTGTATGAAAGAGATCTCATGCATGATCTATTTCAAATGACTTGTGCATTACCGTGACTAGAAATTTACGTGGCTTTGATGTTGCTCACATAGACTTGTAATCGTTGCGTGCTGTTAGATTGAAGTGGAAGACGTGCATTAAATATTTCACAATGCTGATCTTACCCTAATCCAGGTATATGTGTCATTTCTCTCTGTCTTTAACATTTGCTCTTCTTTTTCTTTCTCTTCATCCAAAATAGAAGACACATGCCTATTTTCACTTCCTGTTTTGCTTGAGATGTTAACTTTTTGTTTCCATTGGCTCAGATGATCATGCTTTGCAACACAGACCCAAACCCTCATGTCTCTGGGGGCAGAAATACACAGAACACGGTGACAACAGAGAGAGATGTTTCGTACTGCTGATAAGAAGACACAAGAGCAAAGGTGACGGCCAGTTTATGGTGATTGAATACTCTGTAAAAGCAGAACTTCTCTATTATAGTTCACTTACAGTCGCTACAAAGTCATTTTCAGTTTGGGTTTAATCAGACAGGTTGTTCATGTCTTGATGTGTCCGCACCAACATCCAACTATCTGTACAGGCCCATCTGGACCTTGACAGACCCACAGGAATCTCAGAAATGGCGAAGAGAGATTACCTGGTGGAAGCTGCCAAGCAGATCCGAATGGCTTTGGACAGCGAGGTCAACGAAGACTACGAGGCGGCCTTCAGTTACTACAAGAACGGAGTGGACTTACTGCTGAATGGAGTTCAGTGTGAGTAGATGGGATGAATCATTCAACCGGGGATAGGAATAGCCGGGTTTTCACAAGGTCGGCATGTGACAGTGACATAAAAAAAAAGCAGGAAGTTAGAAGGCAAATGATAAGTGCAGGTTCATATGACGGTTAAGCTTTTTTTCCCCACACAGTAAGATTTAGGATCCACAGAGCTACAGGATTTTTTTACATTGGTAACACAACATTGTGCTTCTTCAATAGTGGACCCCAACAAAGATAGGAGGGAAGCTGTGAAGAGGAAGACAACCCAGTATCTGAAACGAGCTGAAGAAATCTTTATAACCCATCTGCAGGATAACCTAGGAAAAGGAGGGACTCATTTAGGGGTAAGTTAACCATCTAGAGTAGCTTATCAACAAAGAACTTGATGATAAGCTGTAGACACTCAGGTACTACAAAAACTGCAGTATGTCTGCATCTCATATTTCTTTGAAGCATAATGTTTGAAAACTTGACTTCACTACATTTAATTAAGGAATCTAAAACCCTTTACCTAAATAGATTAAGCTGAGGGGAGCTACAGACAACTGCAGACATATTTTGATGTGTTCATCCATCCATCCATTTTCTGTACACCCTGGTCCCTAGTGGGGTCTGGAGGAGTGCTGATGCCAATCTCCAGCAAATGTTTCGGGTGAGAGGCAGGGCACACCCTGGACAGGTCACCAGTCTGTCGCAGGGCGACGCAGAGACAGACAGGTCAAACAACCATGCACACACTCACACTGACCTCCAGGAAGAATTTAGAGAGACTAATTTACCTGTCAATCATGTTTTTGGACTGTGGGAGAAAATATGTGAAATATCTTAACAGAAAATACACAGAATAAATTAAAATTAGGAACGGCAAAATTATTTGTATAGCCTCATTCACTTGCATGGTAACTGAAAGTGCAAAGGTATTTCAATCATATGATGTTTGCATTTAATCAAGCATTTCCATTGTCCAATCAAGGCACTGCTGTCTTATCTGTGGGTTTGATTCCCAGGGCTACAGCAGTCTGAGATTTCGCCCGATCCGACACCTGAGTTCTCCCGTAGAGGATCTGGAAATGTGTAAAGTGGTGGGAGTCAGCGATAAGGTCGGTACATATTTTCTCGCTATAAACCCTTACAACAAAATTGTATATTTAAATACTGTGATGTAGTTTTAAAATTTTGATTGACAAATATTTAAGTACATTTTGGGGGAAAACAACTCTCACATTAAATAATTATCTGTTGATAAAATTACTGGCTCCCCATGACTGGCACTCCTGCTAATTAACAACCTTCCTTTGCCGACAGGACAGAAGAACTTTGTTTGTGCATCTAGTTAACCTTGTCTTTTGATTTTATTGTGTGCTGTGGATTCCAATCTGCTAAAATACTAACTGAAAATCCCCTTTCGAGTGTTCTGTTAAAGGCCACCAGATTTCTTTTATTGAGAACTGTGTGGTGCTTTAGAGAGTCCTTGAAGCCATTTTGTGCAACAAGGTTACCAGAGGCTTTGGAATAGTAATAGGTCCACAGCATCAAAGATATTCCAGCATGCTTAATAGTGACGATGAAGGACCATCCTTTGTTTCACATCACACCCAACAAAAGTGATTGTAACTGAAAAGCCCAATTCTGCTCTCATCTCACCATATAAAAAGCAAACCTTTACCGCTAAAGCATAAAGGTTTGCAGAATTTTCTTTTTCTAAATCTGCCCATCTTGAATTGAAAGTTCTCTTGTTTTTTTTCCCATTTTAAGAGTAATAGAGTGAGAATGGTCACTGTATTGGTAGGAATTATTCAAAGTGCCAATAAATGAAGCACCAATAATTTTGGAACTGTTATTATTTAATACAGTTAAATAATAACTGTATTATTATTCAATGCATGTCTCTTCCACAGTGCCAATAGCTCTGAAAGGGAGCGGTAGCTCGACTTAATGAAGTTTTAAATTATCCACTGCATTTAACCGTGATTCAAGAAAAAAAAAATATTGCAATAATTCACCTGCTTTTCTGTGTAAGCTTGAGAATGTTGTATATTTTATTTCAAAGGTCCTGATTGTGCAAAGCATGGTCAACAAAGAGACGCTTGTTGTAAAGGTAAGGAAGCTCTGCAGAACTAAAAGCCACCAAATGATCACATCCACTTCAATATGCTATATAAAACCTAGATATTCATTTGGTGGCATCTTTCCGTTGATTATTGGACATGATGAGAGGTTTTCACCTGGCAGCAAGCCTGTTCCTGTAATCAAAGCAGTCGATGGAAACTGTCTCCATCCTTTCTCCATCATCATTTCTCAGCATCAAACAGCCGGAGAGCTCTCAAGATTGTAGACAGTGCAAGTGTATCTTAAATTTCAGCTAAAGTAATATTTACGGTGCCCTACAAAATTATTTATATTTTTGTCATTTTCCTTCTTTTCATACAACCAAAAACTTAAGTGGTTTTAATACCTTGACAAGACGCTGGTGTCAGACATTTCAAAAGTTGAGAGCCAGAATGTGTCTCATAGTTTTTCTCTAAATAAATGATTTGTGCGCTTTCACAGAGCCTTGTCAAATCGAGCTGGGAGAGCAGAGACCAAACGACCATTATTCCTCAAGGTGTGCCCTACATGGTGAAGCTGCTACGGTATTATGTCAGTGAGGATGCTGTGTACCTGCATCTGGAGCATGTCAAGGGTAAAGTGGCTATGTCTGGCCCTGTATTTCTTACAAGAAACATCAAAAACATAAAGGAAAACTTTTTGTCTTATCCTAGGTGGGAGGCTTTTCTCCAAGTTGCACAAACTTAGAAGTGAGAAAGCCAGGGAACACCTGGACCCATGCTTCACCTCTGGGCAGCACAATGTCAAGCTGAAGACAAGCCACACCTCACCTGCAATCAGCAGAGACTACCAGCACAACAGCAGAAGCACAGCAGCGATTCCACACAAACTGACCGACGAGAGTCCAGATACAGACTTCCCAAACTCATGGGACGAGACTCAGCAACGACTGGAAAGCTGTGGGACTCACTCCTACATAGAGGAGACAGGTTGTCTCCAGAACACCCGATCGGCCGCATCATTTTACACCAAGCTGGATCAGCTGACGCTGCTCTCCGGCCTCACGAGGACACAAGTCAACACCCACATCCATCCACCAGCCCCTAGTTTGTGTTTGCATTCCAACAAAGCTCAGGAAAAGCCAGCTCTTCCTCTCTCTTGTACCCGTGTCAGCCAAACTCTTGATGTCATGTCAGAACTCCATAAAAAGAAGGCCGGGATAGGACTCATAGAGTGCAGTACGGACTTCGAGGCAGCCTGGAAAGCTTCAGACCCAGCGCACAGCTATAACAAAACCAACCTCTATGCAGTGACTGGCAATAATTTGCAAAGAGCAACATCTCAGACAAATCAGATCTCGTTTAAAAGAACAGAACCTCCTAAAAGTCAGAAAGACGCTTTGAGTTCCTCTCCTGCCATTCTGCATCTCCCTCTCCATTGCCAAACCCAAATCCGTGGCAGAGCATCATGGGAAACTAATGGCTCTCATCAGGGATCTTTTGTTGCTGAAAGTTCTGAAGAGATAAATGCAGAGTCGAAGGAAGAAATCAGTCCCCTTGTAGAAGAAAGAAATGGAATGATAGTCATCAGGAGTACTGACAGAGCAGTATTTTCTGACCATGTGGACACAACCATCCTCTCTGAAAGTTCATGTGATTTTTCTGCTGGAAGCGTTAATACACAGGTGAAGTCATCAGGAGTATGTCAAAAAAGAGAAAATTGTCCCAGAGGTGAAAAACAGGGTATCGAAGTAGCGTGTGAAGTAGTGAGTCCTGGAGGAAAGAACCTAAAAGCAGAATCATATGTAAGCTGGTTTTCTCCCGACCCACTGGGAGCCACATCCCACAGTGACAGAAACAACATCGAGAGACCAGAGAGGCACGAAGAAGACCAGATCATTGAGGTGGACGGCTGGTGTCACCTGATGCGGATTCCTGCCACAACCTCCAAGCCTGCAGAGAAGGCCCTGCAGAGCTACTGGGGGCTTCCAGAAGGAGAGGTGCGTGTGTGGGGGGCGCAGATTGTGTTGGCCCTGGAGAGTCTGCACGAGCAAGGCATCTTGTGTCGGGATCTCAACCCGAGGAACATTTTGCTCACCGGCAATGGTGAGACCAACAAGTCTTCACACCCCTGTCAAATGACCAGGTTTAAGTGATGTAAAAAATGAGACCAAGATAAATGATTTCAGTATTTTCCCTGACTTTTTGATGAAGCCTGTGTTGATTCTTTTATTTGCCCACTCTTGTTTACAAAACATCTTAAACTCACATCAGCCTTGGATGTCTTCCAACAGACATTATATCAGAAACATGTTTGATCTCTGGTTTGATTGCAAACTTTAATCTCCAGTTCCTATTTTTTCAATTAAAATCTTACAATTATAGAATACATTAAACAAGAAAAACATTTCAGAGAAGTAATCACCTGAGTCTCACTGTTTACATCCTGATAATGTGGCATTATAACAGGGGCGAGCAAACTTGAATGTCCGCTTCAAATCTGCACAAAATGAAATGTGAAGTTTAACTAAGCGACATGTTTTCACAGGAAAGGTGTGTTTGACGTTTTTCAGCCAGTGGAGTGAGGTTCAGTCAGAGATTAGCTCCAAAGCCATGGAGCAGATGTACTGTGCTCCAGGTAAACATACATCACCTCAAGCTCCAGTCTCCTTAGTTTGGCCTGCCAGCTAGTGGCAACAAGCCAGCGGTACTGGAGTTTTCTGAAGGAATGTTGAACATGAACATAACTAAACCCAGTTCAATTCGCATTCTCAGAAATCGGAGGAGTGTCAAGGATTACAGAGGCTTGTGACTGGTGGAGTCTCGGGGCTTTGCTCTTTGAACTTCTAACAGGAATGGTGAGATGAATGCAATACAAGTAGTGAAACTAGTATCCATAAGTTCCACATGCCGTGATGAAGCTAAAGATTTTTGCTGTTCCTCCAGCCCCTCTGGCAGCTCCATCCAGCGGGAATCCATTCCCACACCCAGCTGCTCATCCCCGACCACCTAAGTGCTGCAGCTGCATCCCTGCTCACTGAGGTTAGAGTTCACAGTGCCTTACGAAAATATTCATATTGGCACTATAACGCAGAGAAGTAGATTCCTGCTTTGAACATTTAGGGACTTAAATATTTCATCATTTTTTTCAGTAATTTTAAAGTCTTGCCATAGATCCGATTTGGATTTGACTAGACCATTCCAACATAAATATGCTTTCATCAAAACCATTTTTAACCCTGACTGTTTGGTGTTATCTGCCCCAGTTCAAAATGCTGCACCACCTCTACTGTTATCTCCAACCTTCCAGCTCAGGGTTTAAGTTTAGACGACATGAACAGTTTTGTAAGGTTCTATACAAAACCTAACAAAATCTTTTGTCTCTCTATAGCTGCTTCAGTTCGACGCAGGTTATCGCTTGGGTTCTGGAGGTGGAGGAGTAAGCGACATCAAATGCCACCCCTTCTTCAGCGGTGTCTCCTGGAAAGCTCTGTCCTGCTAGCAGACCTCCCATCATTTGTGCCATTCTGGACTTTAAAAAAATCAAAAACAGATCTGCTGGATTAAAGCATCCCGCAATGTTACAGGAGCTTCCCAAAGAAAAGGTTCAACAAAGCTTGGGGATACCCAGTGCCTTGCAAAAGTATTCATACCACTTGACTTTGATCACATTACAAACATTATTGCACTGGAATTTTATGTGGCCGAGTGACACAAACTAGCCCAGTTTCCAAAATATATATATATATTAAATGATTTTTATCTTTGAATATATATAACTGCAGTAATGGTAAAGTTTCTTTTTTTCACTTCTCTCCCTGAAGTGAATAATTATAACCATCTTTATTCTATAAGCATGGAAAATAGGCTTTGATCAAAACCTGGAGTACCTGGGTCCAGACTTAGAAGAGCTACTATCAGGAAACTTTTCACACCATTAACTTTTCCAAAAAAAAACCAAAACAAAAAAAAAAGCCCTAAATCAAAATATTTAATTTCCTCATCAACATGTCATTTAACTCTACACAGGCTTGGGAACAAAGTATATGTGATGGAGGAGCCGTCACGAGGATTTGTTACTTTGTAATAGTTTAATTTACTTCTGGTTTTAGAAGTTTTCCTTGTTTGGTCTTTCGGTAGGCGAAGCCTGTGGCTTTAAAAGCAGGACTCTACCACAGGGAGTCAATCCGTCACACTGAAGGTGATGAGACTCTTGCATTGAAGTCATTTTTGTTTGTCCAAGTCATAATAGAACCCCGTCACAGTATGTATCTGATTCAGGTGTGTTGGAGAAAGGTTTTATATGCCTGATAATAATTATCAAGAACTGGACTTGGCATCCCTGATCTGAACCACTCCCTTGTGGTTCTGGATCCATTTACTGTTGTCCTGCTGAAAGGTGAACATTCGCACCAATCTGAAATATTTTACACCTCTAATGAGTTTTCTTCCATAATTATTCTGTGTTTAGCACCATCAATCTTCCCATCAACTCTGACCAGATGTTCAGTCCAAGAGAAAGAAAAGTACCACAGAATGATGCTGCCATCACTACAGGGGAAAAATATCTTCTACCGGCCACATTTCTGTTAAGCACTTATCCATGTTGATTTTTCTCATATACATTCATTTTTTGGTTGTAATGTGGGAAAATGTGAACAATCCGATGCTTTTCCAAGGCACTGTGTTCCACAAAGGCCCAGTTTTACTTTTTTCCCTTGGGAACTTGGGTGTGTTTTAATGCAATTTTGATAAGTAGGTTTTACATATCTTCATAATCGCCATGCATGTGAATAAAAGCCCTTTTAAATCAAAATTGTGAATGGATTTTAATTGATAGGAAAATAACTGCTATTGTAACAATGAAATATCCCAAGAAAAAGAATTCTATAAATTTTGTTTTGTGCTTCAAGAAAATTAGACAAAAAAAAAAAATAATGAAATTTAAATGCCAACATCCACATTATTTTAAAAAATAATCTCAATTATTAAAAGAGCTGGGGAGGAAAGCAGCCAAAACATTGATTCCAGTTTTACAAACTTATCAATTTGTTCAGTTTTCTTTTTCCAAATAGTTATGAATCACTATTTTCCAATCTACAGTCAGCTTAAGTATTAATGTTTCTTCTAGGAAGTGATTTGTTAAACTTGGCGATTGCAGATTTGACTTTCCTTAAATCTACAATCATGGCACATCAAGTGGTAAAATTTATGTTTTGAGCTGCACCTTTTCCTTTCTAAAATAACTATAATCATCATAATTGGACCTATATTGGAGGAACTGACACTATTATAAAGCTTACTACCTCTTTTTTTTTTTTTTGATTGGCTTTTTTGTGATTTGTAATGAATTACAAATGAATGTCCACAGATTAAACATTCAACAATTATCCACAAAAATCATCCAACAGAAAATCAGCAGTGGAGTAATGAAGTTTTTATTGTTTAAAACTTTGCTTTTCTCTTAAATAGTCTATGTCACACAGCAAAAAGAGAATTCCATGAACTAGATGGCATATAACCTCTGAGGATTACTTCACTTTGGAGATTTTTAATACATAGTGTTCCTTGTTTTCTAGTCCAATATGTGCTCATTGTTCATGTCTCAACCACAATAATAAAATTCTATGTGGTTGCATCTTTACTTGCCTGTCATCTCACAATGACTGGATTTTTATTAAATTCTGTGTAGAAAATGACATTTGGTGAACAAGTTATAGAATATTTATTTTTGTTTCTTTTGATCAAGAGACCAGCACCTGAAATCATAGAGCCCAGTGCCAAACCTTGCAGCCCAGTTGGTTTTACAAATGTCCATTCACAATTTAACTTTTCAAAACAAACCTTTTTTTCCCCTAGTTAACCAAGACAACAATACATTAACTGCAGTAATGGTAAAGTTTCTTTTTTTTAGGTGTGTACAGCTGCTGTTTGTGTGGGGTTGCTTTAGTGGGCCCAGAGTTGACAGAGGCTCACATGTCGAGGAGGAGCACCCTGGGGTCCTCCACCACAGACTTGATCTTACGCAGGAAAGTGACGGCCTCTCTTCCATCGATGAGACGATGATCGTACGTCAAAGCGACATACATCATGGGACGGATCTCCACCTACGCAAAAGAAAACATACATTTTGGAGTCTTTTATTCAGTTCTGTCAATAGAAATTTGAGAAATTTTTGTTTTAAATGGGTACCGCAGGAATTGGATGCAAACAAAAGAAAAATTTGACAAAAGACGGATTTCGAAAATTTGCCCGATTCTAAAATCAGATTTTACCTCAGGAAACATAAATATTAAACTAGTTTTTGAAGATTTTGTGAAATAAATTTTGTTTTACTTCATCCCATTTTAATCTAATTGTGTAGATTTCAGCTAAATGGACCAAACTTACACCACTCAAAACAGTTACAATACAACAAATTCACAATGCAACTACAGCAACTAACGATTTGCATTTAAAATCTTATATCAGCATTAAGCATAATGAGCAGGGCTAGAATTACTAACTGAAACTTATAACTAAAAAATATATCACAAATGTACCATCACAATATTGCAGCATTTCACATGTGCATTATGAACAACTGCCTGGACTGCAATAAATTAAGGCTGTGTCTGTAATATATTTTAAGTTTGCTGTTCTTTTCTGTTTATTTCAGTAAACTGTATTGAGAAGGAAATAAGAAGTGTTATATTTGTCCCAGTAGATGTAGCTAATAGTAACTAATTATTATCTGGAGTTAAGCCTTGTCATGGACACCAAGCAGAAAGAAATTAACACTGTTTATTGTTTTATCATGAGTCAGAAAACCTGGCATGGACTCTTATATGATTATGCATGAGTGAGCTATAACTATCTTATAATTTTAGTTGTAATAGTGAAACACTTTGGTCAACTGATGCTTTTAAATGTGCTATAAAAATAAATTTGACACTGACTTATATGGCTGTCACTACTTCCACCCATGTTATCGCACAATAAGGTGCAGCCCTACTGGAAACAGCGGTCCCTGTGTGTGATATCAGCTCTGACATCACCAAAAGCCTCAACATTTCCGTATTCCAGTGGTCCTTAGTTATTCTGTCATGCACCTAATTGTCACAACAAATTTCATAAAATGAGCTGCAACATCTTCAATTTTAAGTTGTTGCTTATTTCATTATTTGAAGTCTTGCAAATTGGGTTGAACTGAATTTGAAAAATTGTTATAACATTTAATCAAGTCTGGTCAGCTTGTGATTTTTAGAGAAACTGGGGCACTGGGTTTGATGAGTTTTTTTTATTGTAAACAATTGTTGCTTTATTCTGTTTCAAAAAGACAGCCTGTTTTACTTTGAGCACCGCTGCCACCTAGTGACAGGAAGCCGGTTTATAATTCTTTCATGAATAAAAACTACTAGAAAAAAAAATCTTGTTCCTATTTAGGAAGTACAGCCTCAATAACACATAATCAACGGCAGAATTAGATAAACTAGAGAAACTTGCTGTGATATAGTCAGCATCTGTCATTTGCTGACTATAAACCTTTAAACCTTAGTTTTACAGAAAATGACGAACTAACACTTTGTCTCAGTAATGACTTACTGAGACGAAGGACTGTTTGCATGACCTGCATGCGGTGTGGCACATTTCTAGCTGTCGATCAAGTGTGAAAACAGCCAACTTTGCGGTGCATCTTTAACAGGAATTAATACCAAATACCAACCTTGCCACCCACTGCAACAGGCCTGTCAAAGATGCCATGCATGCCCAGAATAGCAGACTGAGGTGGGTTGATTATAGGTGTGCCAAACAAGGACCCAAACACGCCACCGTTGCTGATTGTGAAGGTGCCTCCATCCATGTCTTCAACAGCTAGTTCATTTTTACGTGCCTGTCAATGTAGAATTCCAAAAAAAACTAATAAATTCAGTAAAACATCAAAAGTGAGTTGCGTGGCTGCAGAAAACTGCTTAATAATGAAATCGTACCTTTTCTCCCAACAAATTGATTGCTTTCTCAATGTCAGCAAAGTTCATTTCCTCCACATTTCGTATTACTGGAACCACCAATCCCTGACAAATGAATATAGTACACCTTTTACTTCTGAAGCAGGTATTTTAATACAATAAACTCCACTTCTCTTACCTTTGGTGTTGCTACTGCAACACTGATGTCAACGTAGTCCCTATACACGATCTCTTTGGTTGTGTCATCAATCACTGGAAACACAAATAACATGAATGTTACAAATCTCTTGTCCAGGATAAATTACAAGTTTTCGCTTCACTTCCATCAAGGTAAAGCTGTTTTCTTGTAAGCCGCTCGCTCTCACGTGCAAGTCAAAAGTTGTGGGTAATCAACGCCACAGACCATTATAGATCTTTAAAAGGCAGCAACACGTCCCACCCTAGTTTCATTGTGGTCTATCTAAATAGGTCAGGGTAGTCTAGGGGAATAAAATAAGTTAGGAGTTGGTTTTGAGGTTGAGCAATGAAACTTAAATCTTTTTCTTCACCACACACACACTTGGCCTGCCTTGAAACCGAACGTGCAAAGACGGAGTGAAACATCTACCACAAAGTTAAGGTTTCCTAGTCTTTAAAGGTTTAATTCTGTACCTCCGTTGACTGCAGGTTGATCAACTAGAGCGTAGGCGGCAGCCTTCACAAATGCAGACATAAAGCCCAGCTTGATGTTGTGTTTTTTCAGAAAAGCATCTTTGTAAGCCTTCCTCATCTCACTGATGTTACTGCGGACATAAAGCAGAAGTCACAGTGAAACACGGCATTAAGACGAGCCTGAAAAGGAATGGAGACTTTGAAAAAAAAAGTGTGAATGAAGTCTTGAAGAGTATAAATGTTCATGTAAAATTTTAAATGTGAAGATAAAAGTGCATCTGAAAACATATTACATAAAAAAAATGTTATTTAAATAATTCAAAACGTTTAACCACGTAATTGGATTACTGTATTAGTTCTTGTAAACAAAAATGTTATATTCTGGCCAAGTTATGCCGGTT